TGTGTTGTGTGTGTGTGGTGTGTGTTGTGTGTAAATCATACTCAAAATGCAATTTAGAGGCGCCACCCCGAAAAGATGACACATGTATCTAAGCCCACTATATTCCAAGGGAATGCAAGATCCTAAACCGTGCCCAATCGCCTCTATCATAGCCTTCCACAGCACCCTCGATCATCTCCCTAACCCATTCCGTTGTTAGGGGTGTTTAAGGGGTCTATAAGGGGTATATAAGTAATCAAACCATACCCATTCTCCTTTACTCTGTGATAGCTTTCCGTAGCACCCTGGATCACCACTGTAACCCTTGCCGTTGTTTAGGGGTGTATTTAAGGGGTCTGGGTTTTCGCATCCCTTATAGGGACCCCTTATTGGAACGCCACATAGCCTAAGCCATGCAGGACCTCGAGACCTTTCTAACGCGCCCAAGAACTCCCCCAGCTCCCTGTGGTTGCTGAAAAAAAGTAAACTTAATTAGGTCTCTGGTTATGGGTTATGGTTTATAGTTTTACGGCATGAAAGTTGTTAATACATAGCCCTGTGGCCGCCCCCTTGTTTTCGGTTCAGTTGGGTGGAGATTGATTGTGTTTGATTTTTCGGGGCGGGGGCCCTGGCCAGGGCTCAAATATACATATAGATATATATATGTAGTTATTATACATCTGTGTGTGTGCGTGTACATATAGATAGATAGATAGATATAGATATGTGTGTGTTGTGTGCAACCACCAACAGAAGCGACGTCGCCCCGCCAGGCCTTGCTCGGAGAGGTCATGCCCTTGTGCCTACAAGAGTGGCACACGGTCAAGCAACAAGGGCGAAGTCAGGATGGTGGGAATGTGAGGGAAACGGAAATCAGGCAAAGAAGTGCAAAAATGACTGAAATATATATGGAGAGAGAGAAAGGGAGAGCTCTTTTATTCCTGTTTAATTGTCAATTAAATGGATATATTTGAGACCTGCTTTAAGAAATTAATTATCGTATATCATTTCGAAAATAGTTATCATGAAATCTTATCACGTAGTCTTATTTCCATTCCTTATCACATTTTCTGTATAAAAGTCCTTAAATATTGTTGGAACTGAATATTCGTCAGGCGGAAATATCCTTCGTTTGCATTATCCCAGAGCCGTATATCTGGCTCTGCATTATCCGAAGCAGCTCCTCTCTCTCTCTCTCTCTCCTTCGTCTTATGTCACCTGGATCCGGTATTTAGATAATGGTAAACTTTTGATATGTTATCACTGCTTATGATTAGTGCAATGGTATCAGTAGCTATAGGACAAGAATACTTTATGGAAAGACTCCGATTTATTAAGTAATAGATAATTATATGTAGGTACTGTGGGTGACATAAAATTCAGTTTAATTCAACAACATAATTTTCATATATGTATTATATATATATATATATATATATATATATATATATATATATTATATATATACATATATATATATATATATATATATATATATATATATATATATATATATATATATATATATTGCTACATGCCCCCTCAGAAAGTACAATATGGCCCCCAGGTTGGGAACATCTGGTATAAATGAAAGGCAGCGAATCAACCACTGGAGTACAATTTATTCAACATATAAAAATATTCTGTACAAAAAACGAGCATATTTACAGTATTTACACGCCCGAGGCCTTTCGGCAGGCCGGGCGTCTGGGCGTGAACGAGATCGGCGATCGGCGAGCGACGTTGCGCCCTCGGCCGAACCACGTGTTTCTGACGAAGAGCAACCTGGCAACGCGAGTCGGTCGCCTCGCGGAGTCGCTCGCTCTCACTCACACGCGTTCTGCTCTTGCCGAAGAGAACTCAGTCGGACTCACACGTTTTCCCAAACATTCAAACACGACATCGAGACACTGGCACGTGACTATGCGGTGGTTTGACATTTCGGTAAGAATAATCGGATTTCTTAATCCTAGCATAAACGTTCAGACGAACCTTTGACACTTTCAGAAGAATCGTTGTTTCAAGATCCAACATGGCGAGAGGAATCTAATCTATCCATACACAGCGAAGAAATCATGCATTAGAATATCACACTATTGTTATCATCATTCCCGCTATATTGTTTTTGCTGCTCATTTTGTTTTTGTTTTTGTTATTGTTATTATTACTTTTGCAATTATCATAATCATTATCGCCATTATTATAACTAACGTCATGCATAACCATTATTAGTTCTAATAATAAAAAAAAAAAAAATTGACAATAATCAAATCATAATAATAATAATAATAAAAGCAATACTAATCATAACATCATTATTACTAATAACTGTCAGAAATGAAAGCAAAAAAATCAAAATAATAATGATAATAACAATACCAAAAACAAGAAAATATTGACTAATAATCAGTGATAATAATAATGGCAAAAACAATAATCATAATAATTGTATTAACAACAACAATAATAATAATAATAATGATAACAATAATTTTATTACTAACGATAGTGATGATGATGA